TCCTCCTCCTCCTCCTCCTCCTCCTCCTCCTCCTCCTCCTCCTCCTCCTCCTCCTCCTGCAACGGGGATGAGCCGTGCAGATGATGCAGTTGAGCCGTTCGTGTGACCAGGCGGGCTTCTCTGAATGTAGGCGCTCCTGCGGAAACGCGAGCTGCCTGCGCGGCACGGTGGGCCGCGATTCCACAAAGGGTCTCGGCACCCATTGTGAGCGGGGTTCACGGTCCTGGGCTCCCCTGTTGAGAGAGGTTCCGGGCGCCGCTGTTGAGAGAGGTTCAGGGCCACCTGCCCGACCCTGGTAAACGTTTTCTTATTCGGCGTTTCGACATTGGGCGGAAGGGGGGGAGAAGGAGGAAGGGGAGGAGGAGGAGGAGGAGGAGGAGGAGGAGGAGGAGGAGGACGAGGCGGCGGAGGAGGAGGAGGAGGAGGAGGAGGTGGAGATGGAGGAGGAGAAGGAAGGGGCGATGGAGGTGGATGCCAGCGCTCAGCCTGCATCCCAGTTTGTGAGCGTTTTCGTATTCGGCGTTTCGACATTGATCGGAAGGGGCAGGGGAGGGGGGGTCAGACTCTGGACCTCTGCTGTACGCCACTATTTACAACATTGCGTCCTATGGGGGAGACTCCACCAGCTTGAAACAGGCGCCAACAACAGCTAAGATCTACTCCGCGGGAGGGGTGTGCGAGGGCCCGTGCCGATCGGCAAAACAATGCATAAGACAACGATCTGTCCCAGACCTCCGACGTCGAGACTGATTCGCGGCGCTTGCCGTGTTCTCCTCCCTCTTGTCATCCTCGTCCTCCCCCCCGGCTGCGCATCTCTTTCTGAACGGGCAAGAAGCAGGCGGCCGCTGCAGGCTGCTCGCTGGACTTGTCTTTCGCGACGCGGGCCCCGAAGTTCGACCCTGCTCGGGTGGTATCTCGATGCGGTCGGTCCCGTTTGATATCGGGTCTGGGAAGCCGTGATGGCTCTCTCGGTACTACTTGGTGCCCTCTTGTGGCTCTCCTGTCCGCCGATTGCGGCGGCTGCGGCACAACTCTCCGAGGGAGGAGCACGGAGCGTCGCGCCGAGCTCGTGCGGAGCAGACCCCGGGGGGCTCAGGGGGGTGCGGTAGGCTCGAGCCGCGTTGACGCGGCGGCGGCGCGGGCGCGAAGGTCGCCGTCGTCGTCGTCGTCGTGCCGAGGGTCAGAAGCTCGTGGATGGGGGGCCAGGCGGGTGTCGGGTACACTTGTCGTGCCGCGTTCGCGAGACGTCCTCGCAGTCGGGTTTCGAGACTCCTCTGGGCCAGCCCCAGGGAGTTCGAGGTGACGCAGGGGCCGACGCCATCGGGCCCGCGTGGCAGCGATGCACGGGGCTCGCAGTGCAGGGCGACGATGAGAGGCGAAGCGTGGAGCCATGGTGGGCGCACGGTTTTATCCTCTTCCTCCTCCTCCTCCTCCTCCTCCTCCTCCTCCGCCTTCCTCCTCCTCCCTCCTCCTCCTCCTCCTCCTCCTCCTCCTCCTCCTCCTCCTCCTCCTCCTCCTCCTCCTTCCCCCTCCTCACCCGATGTTATTATCGTCCTGGCTTCGTTCTCATGGAGGTGTTCGCCTTGCGAGCCTCGCGTAGGCGGGTCCAAGGCCCAGTATCCGAGGTCGAGGAGTCAGAATGGAGGTGTTTGGGCGCGTTGGGCCCCCACCAGGCCTCCATGGCCGCCTGCGGAGGCCCCTTGGGTCTCCGGGGGCATCTGGCGGATCCCGAAGACCTTCATGGAGGATGGAGACCTCTCCCCCTGCTCCCGCCCACCCTGCTGCTATCGACGACCTCTCGCAGGCCACGAAGGATTCAGAGATTCAGATCAAGCGGGACATCGTAGTATCCACGGCTCGTGGCTTGAAGAGCCAGGGCCTCAGGTTAGCCAGCAAGTCGGTCGTCACGTGTTCCAAAGCTGGCCAGGCCAAGGAGGCCACGCGGGCTTTACGTTTGAGAGGTGTAGTCGTCGCGGCTGCGAAGTACACATCTTATCTCGGGATCGACTTCGGAGCTGGCAGGCAGCGTATTCGTGAGCAGAGGGAAGCGCAACGCTAAGCATCTCACTAGGCACAGGAAGGTGGTCAAGTACACCCGTACGATTCAAGTTGCCCGTCTCACCTCACGTTTGAAACGTCAAGGTGTGCAGGCAACCAGGAGCTACGGCTACCGACTTCACGGAGCTCTAGGACAGGAATTGGTAAATTATAAGCGTAGGCTGGGTGCGGCCTGCAGTGCTCGCGGCTGCCGACGAAAAAAAGTATCCCCACCGGCCCATCCAGAAACGATGCCGATGAGAGCTGACGGAGGGAGAGAGGAAGAGGCACACACAGTCGAACAGCGAGGGAGGCTTGGGAGGCTCCGTGGCCATCTTGAGCCGTCTTGGAGCGGTCTTGGGGCCGTTTGGAGCATCTCGGGAACCATCTCGAGCCAGCTTGGGCTATCTGAGCCATCTTGGAGGTCATCTTGGGCTCTCGGAGGCCGCTCGGGGGCCTCTCGGGTGCCTCTTGGAGGCCTCTTGGGGCTTCTTGGTGCGCTCCCTGGGCCCTCTTGGCAGCCTCTTGGGAGCCCTGGAGGGCTTCTTTGGGCCATCTCGGATCTTTAACATCTTCTCGGGAGTGAGCGCCCAGGGGGGGTTTTGGAATGGCGAAATCAGAATGCGCCGCGGCGTGGCATTTCTTTGGCATGTTGGGCAGTTCAGAAGTCCCCCCTCCCTCGGGGGCCACGATCCTCATGAGGGGTGTCAAACATTGGCCCTCCGAGGGGCCGAAAAAGGATGTTCTAACTCGTCGCGGCCCCCTCCCAAAAAACCTCAGGGAGGGGAGGGGGAGGGTTCCCCTCCCCGAAGGGAAGAGGGGTTGTGGAAGAGGAAAGAGACCCTCCTTAGACCACCTGTCGCCCAAAGGGCTGGCTTGGTGGGACGTCGCCAAGTGGTGGCCCGGGGCGAGCTTCAGGCCCTGTGATTGGCAGTTTTCACTTCGAACGGGCGCACGACGTCCGTCACTGACTGCGAGGTTGCCTTCCAGGGCTGGACGGTCCAAGCGTGCCTCGGTCCCTCTGGAGCCGACGCCGACGTCAGGGCCCAGACTGAGGCTGCTTCTCCGCGACAGGGACCCAGCTCTGATCACAGCCCAGCTCGTGAATACGAGCCTGGACGGCGCTGTGATCGCGGACGGGGTGGCTGCCAGGTGGATGGTGATAGGCAGTCGTTTGATAGACGAGATCGTGCGCCATGTTGCGGTTCGTGTGCGCTTGGCCGCTGGCGTTCGTTTTTTGGGTCTGACAAGTTGAGCGGCAGGCTCTCCGAGTGCGACATCGGCTGCTACATCCTGTTCTGGATTGTACTCAGGCGGGTGAGAAGCCCAGGCGGAGAGGCGTTCTCCTCCTCCCCCTCCTCTGCGACCTGCATCGCAGCCAGTTGCAGCTAATCTCAGTTCGTTCCGAGTTTTTGACGATAGTGGCCGTCGCTGCGTCAGACGTGTCGGGGCCGCGGCCCTGGCGACCGCAGGCCTTGGGAAGGCCAGTCCCTGTTTTCACCCTGTGAACCGACATGGGTGTTGTCACACCTTCGGGGCTCATGATCAGAGTCATGTTGCGTGGTGCTGGGTCAGCAAGAGTCGTAATAGAAACCTCAGCACGAAGCTTAATATGTAGTTCCGCGGAGCCTGCGGTAGTATAGCCAGTAAGCGTGCAATTACATTAATATACACAAGCCGTGCGCCCCGAAGGGTACATCGACAGGGATGGATTGTATAAAGAGCATCGGACTTGGCTTCTGGCCCACGGTCTTGAGTAATGCCAAGAGAGAGGCTCGTCAAGGTTTCCTTCGGAATTCCCCCTCCACGGTGTAAGGTTTTTCCACTTCGTGCGCTGACATTCCCGTTCCCATTCTCCCCTTCATCCTCGTCGTCGCGCTCCTCCTCTTCCTCATCCCCCTCCCTCTCCTCCTCCTCATCCGTTTCGTACATAAGGAGAGACCTTGGGTACGACAGTTGTTTGCTTTGCATTCCTGCTCCTGCTCCTCCTGCTCTTCCTCCTCCTCCTCCTCCTTCTCCTCCTCCTCCTCCTCCTCCCCCATCCCCCATCCTCCCTCCTCCTCCTCCTCCTCCTCCTCCTCCTCCTCCTCCTCCTCCTCCTCCTCCTCCTCCTCCTCCTCCTCCTCTCCTCCTCCTCCTCCTCCTCCTCCTCCCCCCCTCCCCCCCCCCCCCCTCCTCATCATCATCCTCATCCTCCTCTCCTGTGTCCTGCTGCCGACGATCCCCCTCCCCCCTCCCCCCGCGCGCCCCCGTGCCCTCCGCAGGTCCTCATCCTGATCCACGTCGCCCTCGCGTACGTCGCCTGGTGGCCGCGGCCCGCCGTCCCGCAAGGGCGCCCGCGGGCGGCGCCCAGCCAAGAGCCCCCACCACCGCCTCGGTCGTTTCGCCTCCCCCGTCGTCCTCCCCGCCGCCCTCCTGCGCCACCTCCTGCTCGTCCTCTTTCTCTCCCTCCCCATCTCCTTTCTGGGGTGGCCTCCTGCTCCTCCTTCTCCTCCTTGTCGTCCCTCCTCCCTCCTCCTCGTCCTCCTCCGCCTCCTCCTCCTCGTGTTCCTCCTCGCTTCTTTTTGGGGAGCGGGGGATGTACCGAATCCAGCCTCGGAGGGGTTTCAGGGGCCTCCCCGCCTCCCCGTCGCGTAAAGCATTTGCCCGGTCTACCAGGGGCAGGACCATCCGCTGGGATCTCGCCGGTGGTATCCAGAGGACCCACGCTGTGAAGCGAGTTGGCCGTGAACAGGCGGCCTCATAATATTTGGCGTTGTGTGTCCAATGTGTGTCCACCGAGCCGCTTCGGCCGCAGCAGCAGCAGCATCCGCACCCTCCTCCTCCTCCTCCTCCTCCTCCTCCTTCTCATCATCATCATCATCATCATCATCATCATCATCATCATCATCATCATCATCATCCTCATCCTCATCCTCATCCTCATCCTCATCCTCATCCTCATCCTCATCCTCATCATCCTC